GTCGGTGCTGGAGGAGGAGGAGCGGGGGGATTTTTTGGGGGGGCCGGGGGGTCCCCACCCGCCTTGTCCCTTCCCCGTCTCCTCCTCGCTCCCCGTCACCTCGTAACAACCTTTGCTTTTGGAGCCCATCCCCCCGAACGTCCCGAATTTGATCTTGCCCCCCCCGATTTTGACTTTCTCCCCCCCGACCCCCGAGGGGGAGGCCAGGTCTACCTCGGTGGGGTGGGAGGACCGTTCCTCGCTGAAGGAGGAAGAGCGGTGCCGCGTCTTCTTGCTCTTGAAGAGGGAGAACTTCCCTTTGGCCGAGGGACCTTCCCCTTCCAGCTCCCCTTCCACCGACCCCAGGCTGGCTTTGGAGCTCTTCAGGTCCCCCTTGGACCCCGAGATGGACCCCGAAACTTCGGGGGAGCTCAAGGAGGAAGAGGAGGCGCCGCCGCCGCCGCTTTTCCCTTTGGCCTTGGAAAAATTGAATTTGGGCATTTTGAGCTTGGATTTCTTCAGCCGGACGTCGGCCTCCTCCGATTCCACCTCAACGGCGACGCCGGAGGAGAGGTTGGGGTCCCCCCCCGGGAACTCCACGTCCACCCCCATCTCCCTGCCCTTCACCTCCGGGTCGGAAAAGACAAATTTGGGCATTCGTAACTTGGGGAAGGAGACTTTGCCGCCGCCACCACCGCTTTCTGGGCTACCGAGGGTGACGCTGGGGCCACCGATGGCCACTTTGGGGCCGGTGAGGTGAAGGCCTCCGCCACCGGCGGTGGCCGCCTCTCCAGAGATGGTGGCACCACCTTTGATCTTGGGGCCTTTCACGTTGAGGTTAAAACCCGACCCGGAAACTTTGGACACGTCCAAGGCTGGAGCTTCGAGGTGGACACTGGCTCCGGGCTCCTTGAGGTCGACGCGAGGAGCTTCCACGTTGACTTTGGGGCCTTTGATGTCACCGGCGACGTCCACCTCGCCCCGTAGGTTTGGTCCTTTCAGCTTGAGGTCAACGTCCGGCGCTTGAAATTTCGGCCCTTTCAATTCTACGTCGGGTCCTTCCAACCCAACCCCGGAGCCCTTCAGGCCTCCTTTGACTTGGGGGCCTTCAAGAGTGACACCCCCTTCAGGGCTGGAAACACCAAACTGGGGGAGCTTGAGGGACGGGAGCTTGATGGTGCCCCCCAGAATTTCGAAGCCGACATCGGGGGCGTCCGCCGAAGCTTTGGGGGCTTTGATGCCGGCGGAAACGTCGAGGTCACCCTTCAACTTTGGTCCTTTCAGGTTTAAATCCAAATCCGGGGCGGAAACGTCCACCGAGGGCCCTTGGATATCGACGCCCGGGGTGCTAAGGTGGAGGTCAGCACCAGGGACTTTGGTGTCCACCTCCACTCGGGGGACGGAGCAGTCGAGGCCCCCCTTCACGCTGAGGTCAGGGCCCTCCATGGTGGGGGGTTTCACCTTGGGCAGCTTCATCTTCCCTCCCAGGCCTCCGAGGTCGACACCCGGCGCCTCCAGGTTGACCTTGGGCCCTTCCACCGAACCCGAAACGTCCAGATCTCCCTTCAGTTTTGGTCCTTTCAGGTTGCCATCAAAATCGGGGCCCGAGATTTGGGGCCCTTTGAGCTTCACGTCGGGGGCCGAGAGATCCAAGTTTCCCTCCGGCATTTCCAAACCCAGACCCATCTTCCCACCTTTGGGCAATTTCAACTTTCCTTCGGGACCTTCCAGTTCCACTCCAGAAACACCCATTTCCCCTTTGATTTTTGGTCCTTTCACGTTCAAATCGACCTCCGGCACCGGGATGGAGGGAACGGTGACGTCAAGGCCGGGGCCTTTCAGGTCGCCCTCCATTTTCAAGTCCCCAAGGCCCACCTGCCCGCTGGGAAGTTCCCCCTCGAGTTTTGGGACGGTCACTGAGGCGTCCCCTCTGAATCGGTGTGATTTAAGATCAAATTCAACGTCTGGGAAGGAGATTTTCCCAAACATGGGTTTTTTCCCCTTGGGGGACTTCACCGAAGCGTCACCTTTGATGGTCACGTCAGGACCAGCCATGTTGACGTCCAGGTCAGGAGATTTCAGGTTCCCATCGAGTTCTCCACCCGCCACGTTGACGTCGAACCCACCTTTCTTGCCTTTGACTTTGGGGCCGCTCACGTGAAGTTTGGGCATCTTGAACTTGCTCTTCTTGCCCTTCCCACCCAGGTTGACGTCTGGCGACTCCAGGTTGAGCTCCGCCTCCGGTAAATCCACTTCTACCCCTGGGGCCTTGACCTCCCCCTTTGGGCTTTTCATCCCGAACCCAAACTTGGGCTTCTTAAATTTGGGGAGTTTGACGTTGGCCTCCGGGCCTTCGATGTTGAGGTCGGGGCATTCCACGTCCACTTCGGGGCCTTTGATTCCCACTTCGGGGCCTTTGATATCAACTTCAGGACCTTTCAGGTGGCCTTCCATCTTTGGGGTGGAGAGGTCAAAGCCCCCCTTGGTTTTGTGGCCTTTCAAACTCAAGTCGATCTCGGGCATGGAGATTTTGGGAACGCTCATGTGCATCTCCGGCATCTTCAGTTTAGGACCTTTCAGTTTTCCCTCCGGCCCTTCCACGCTCACGTCTGGGGCACTGATGTCCACCTTGGGGCCCGAAAGGTCCACCTCGGCCTTCGGCAGGTTCACATCCACGTCAGGACCTTCTCCTTTAAAGCCAAACTTGGGCAGCTTCATTTTAGGCATCTTCACTTTTCCCTCCAGGCCATCGACGTCGACTTCCGGGCCCTGGATGTCAACTTTGGGGCCTTTAATGTCAATTTCAGGACCCTTCAGACCTCCCTCCAGCTTGGGGCCTTGAAGGTCAGCGTCACCTTTACACTTCAGGCCCTTGAGGTTCAGGTCTATGTCCGGCATGGAGATCTGGGGGGTCTTGATGTGCATTTCTGGCATCTTCATCTTGGGACCTTTCAGTTTTCCTTCGGGCCCTTCGATGTTCACCTCAGGTGCCTGAAGGTCCAACTTGGGGCCTTTGATGTCAACGTCCGGACACTGCAGATCCCCTTCCAGCTTCGGTGCCGAGAGGTCCACGTCCCCCTTCACTTTGGGGCCCTTCAGATTGAAGTCAACGTCGGGCATGGAGAACTTGGGGGCCTTGATGTGCATCTCGGGCATCTTGAACTTGGGGCCTTTGAGTTTCCCTTCGGGCCCTTCTATGGTCACATCAGGAACGTCAACGTCTATTTTGGGGGCTTTTACGTCGATTTGGGGTCCTTTCAAATCACCTTCCAGCTTGGGTCCCGAGACATCGAGGTCTCCTTTCAGTTGAGGCCCTTTGATGTTGAGGTCGACGTCGGGGAGGGAGACCTTGGGAGCCTTAATGTGCATCTCGGGCATGGAAAATTTGGGACCTTTGACTTTTCCATCCAGGTTCAGGTCAGGGGCCTCCACCTCGACGCTGGGGCCCGAAATGTCCACGTCTCCCTTCGGGAGGTTCACATCCACGTCCACCCCCTCCCCCTTAAAGCCGGGCATGGAAAATTTGGGCATTTTGAATTTAGGCAGCTTGAACTTCCCCTCCGGACTGTCGATGTGGACATCAGGGGCACCAACGTCCAATTTAGGAGCCCCGATGTTGACCTCAGGACCTTTCAGTTCACATTCTGGTCCTGACACCGACACGTCGACGTCTCCTTTCACCTTGGGGCCTTTCAGGTTCAAGTCGATGTCGGGCATGGAGATCTTGGGGGCCTTGATGTGCATCTCAGGCATCTTGAACTTGGGGCCTTTAATTTTTCCTTCAGGGCCTTCAATGTTCACCTCTGGACCTTCAATGTCCACCTTTGGGCCAGAAACGTCCAGGTTTCCTGTCGGCAGGCTCACGTCCACCTCTGGGCCTTCTGCTTTCACCCCCGGCATCCCAAACTTGGGCATTTTGAACTTGGGCATCTTGAATTTGCCTTCTGGACCATGAATGTCCACGTCAGGAGCCTCAATGTCGACTTTGGGGCCCTTGATGTCCACCTCGGGACCCTTTAGGTCACCCTCTATCTTGGGGCCCTTCAGATTGAAGTCAACGTCAGGCATGGAGAATTTGGGTGCTTTGATGTTCATCTCGGGCATCTTGAACTTGGGGCCTTTGAGTTTCCCTTCAGGACCTTCCAGCTCAACGTCAGGAAGGTCAACATCAACCTTGGGGCCTTTGATATCAATTTCTGGGCCTTTCAAATCACCTTCCAGTTTGGGAACGGACACGTCGATGTCTCCCTTCACTTTGGGGCCTTTCAGGTTCAAGTCGATGTCAGGCATGGAGATCTTGGGTGCCTTGATGTGCATCTCTGGCATCTTAAATTTGGGGCCTTTAATTTTTCCTTCAGGGCCTTCAATATCCACCTCTGGACCTTCAATGTCCACCTTTGGACCAGAAATATCAATGTCCCCTTTTGGGAGGTTCACGTCCACCTCTGGACCTTCTGCTTTCACCCCCGGCATCCCAAACTTGGGCATTTTGAACTTGGGCATCTTGAATTTGCCTTCTGGGCCGTGAACGTCCACATCTGGCACATCAATGTCAACTTTGGGGCCCTTGATGTCCACCTCAGGACCTTTCAGGTCACCCTCCAGCTTGGGGCCCTTCAGATTGAAGTCAACATCAGGCATGGAGAACTTGGGTGCCTTGATGTTCATCTCGGGCATCTTGAACTTGGGGCCTTTCAGTTTCCCTCCAGGACCTTCCAGCTCAACGTCAGGAAGGTCAACATCAACCTTGGGGCCTTTGATATCAATTTCTGGGCCCTTCAAGTCCCCTTCCAGTTTGGGAAGGGACACGTCGATGTCTCCCTTCACTTTGGGGCCCTTCAGGTTCAAGTCGATGTCAGGCATGGAGATCTTGGGTGTCTTGAAGTGCATTTCAGGCATCTTGAACTTGGGACCTTTAACTTTTCCTTCCGGACCTTCCAGCTCCACGTCAGGAAGGTCAACGTCCAGTTTTGGGCCTTTGATGTCAACGTCCGGGCCTTTCAGGTCGCCCTCCATTTTTGGAAGGGAAACGTCCACGTCCCCCTTGACTTTGGGGCCTTTGAGGTTGAGGTCGAAGTCAGGCATGGAGATCTTGGGGGCTTTGAAGTGCATCTCGGGCATCTTGAATTTGGGACCCTTCAGCTTCCCCTCTGGCCCCTCGATTTGAACATCTGGGGCGCTAACGTCCAACTCGGGACCTTTAACATCCACTTTTGGGCCTTTCAGGTCACCTTCCACACTCGGCATCTCCACCTCCACATCCCCCTTCACTTTCGGGCCTTTCAGGTTCAGATCAAAATCCGGCATCGAGATTTTGGGAGCCTTAAAATGCATCTCCGGCATCTTCAACTTGGGGCCTTTCAGTTTGCCTTCCGGTCCTTCCATCTCCACATCGGGAAGGTCTACGTCTACTTTAGGACCTTTTATATCCAGTTCAGGACCCTTCAGGTCACCTTCCAGCTTGGGAAGAGACACGTCCACATCCCCCTTCACTTTGGGGCCCTTCAGGTTCAAGTCGATGTCGGGCATGGAGATTTTGGGGGCCTTGATGTGCATCTCGGGCATCTTAAATTTGGGGCCTTTAATTTTTCCTTCAGGGCCTTCAATGTCCACCTCTGGACCTTCAATGTCCACCTTTGGAACAGAAACATCAATGTCCCCTTTCGGCAGGTTCACATCCACCTCTGGACCTTCTGCTTTGAACCCCGGCATCCCAAATTTGGGCATTTTGAACTTGGGCATCTTGAGTTTCCCCTCCGGGCCGTGAATGTCCACATCAGGGACCTCGATGTCAACTTTGGGGCCTCCAATATCCACCTCAGGAGCCTTCAAATCCCCTTCCAGCTTTGGGGCAGAAAGGTCTAGGTCTCCTTTCAGCTTGGGACCTTTGAGGTTCAAGCTGGCATCAGGCATGGAAATTTTGGGTGCTTTTATGTGCATTTCTGGCATTTTAAACTTGGGACCTTTCAGTTTTCCTTCTGGGCCTTCGATGTCCAGATCTGGGGCGTCCACGTCCAGCTTTGGGCCTTTGAGGTGGACATCTGGCACGTTCAGGTCCCCTTCCAGTTTTGGCCCGGAGAGATCGACGTCCACCCCTCCTTTTGCCTTGGGACCTTTCAAATTCAAATCAAAGTCCGGCATCGAAATATTGGGGGCCTTGATATTCATTTCGGGCATTTTAAACTTGGGGCCTTTCAGTTTGCCCTTGGGACCTTCAACATCAAGGTCAGGACCTTCCAGGTCTACTTTTGGGCCTTTTAGATCCACCTGGGGAAGGGAGACGTCCACGTCCCCCTTGACTTTGGGGCCTTTCAGGTTCAGGTCGATGTCAGGCATGGAGATCTTGGGGGCTTTGATGTTCATCTCCGGCATCTTGAACTGGGGGCCCTTCAACTTCCCCTCTGGGCCTTCAATCTCCAAACCAGGACCTTCCACCTCAAGCTTGGGACCTGAAACATCCAACTCTCCTTTGGGAAGGCTCAGGTCCACCTCCGGCCCCTCCGCCTTCAAGCCGGACACCCCAAATTTGGGCATTTTGAACTTGGGCATTTTGATTTTACCTTCCGGCCCGTGAATGTCCACGTCGGGTGCCTCAACGTTGACTTTGGGGCCTTTGATGTCCACCTCGGGACCTTTCAGTTCCCCTTCCAACTTGGGGCTGGAAAGATCTAACTCTCCTTTTACTTTATGGCCTTTGAGATTTAGCTCCACGTCGGGCATCGAAACTTTGGGGGAAGAAATACTCAGAAAGGGCATTTTAAATTTAGACCCTTTGGATTTGGCCTGAATGTCCACCTCCGGAGCCTGAACATCGACTTTGGGCCCAGATATTTCCACGTCGGGTTTTTTAAGTTTCACGTCCACTTCAGGGCTTTGCACTTTTGGGCCGGAAAAGCCAAATTTGGGAAGTTTAAACCTAGATTTTTTAGCTTTTCCCTCAAGGTCCAGCTTGGGGCCTTCGACCTCCAGTTCCGGCCCTTTGATGTCCACTTTAGGAGCTTTCAGTTCTCCCTCTATTTTGGGAAGGGAAGGATCAACGTCACCTTTCAGTTTGGGGCCTTTCAAATTGAGGTCGATATCGGGCATGGAGATTTTGGGAACGTTGAATTCTATGTCCGGCTTCTTAAATTTAGGGCCTTTAAGTTTTCCTTCTGGGCCTTCGATGTCCAGATCGGGAACGTTAACGTCAACCTTTGGACCCGCAAGAGCGACATCGACTTCGGGTGGATTCACTTCAACTTCTGGGCCTTCTCCTTTCAGCCCCGGCACCCCAAATTTGGGCATTTTGAACTTGGGCAATTTGATTTTACCTTCTGGCCCGTGAAGGTCCACGTCGGGTGCCTCGATGTCGATTTTGGGGCCCTTGATGTCCACGTCAGGACATTTCAATTCACCTTCCAGCTTAGGAAGGGACATGTCCACGTCGCCCTTCACTTTGGGGCCTTTCAGATTGAAGTCGACATCGGGCATGGAGATCTTGGGGGCCTTGATGTGCATCTCGGGCATCTTAAATTTGGGGCCTTTCAACTTCCCTTCGGGACCTTCAATGTCCACCTCTGGACCTTCAATGTCCACTTTGGGGACAGAAACATCAATGTCTCCTTTTGGGAGGTTCACGTCCACCTCTGGACCTTCTGCTTTCACCCCAAACTTGGGCATTTTGAACTTGGGCAATTTTATTTTACCTTCTGGGCCATGAAGGTCCACATCAGGTGCCTCAATGTCAACTTTGGGGCCCTTGATGTCCACATCAGGACATTTCAATTCACCTTCCAGCTTGGGGACAGACACATCCACGTCCCCCTTCAGTTTGGGGCCTTTCAGATTGAAGTCAACATCTGGCATGGAGAACTTGGGTGCTTTGAAGTGCATCTCAGGCATCTTGAACTTGGGACCCTTCAGCTTCCCCTCTGGCCCTTCCAGCTCAACGTCAGGAAGGTCAACATCAACCTTGGGGCCTTTGATATCAATTTCTGGGCCTTTCAAATCACCTTCCAGCTTGGGAACGGACACATCCACATCTCCCTTCACTTTGGGGCCCTTCAGGTTCAAGTCAATGTCAGGCATGGAGATTTTGGGGGCCTTGATGTGCATCTCAGGCATCTTGAACTTAGGACCCTTCACCTTCCCCTCAGGACCTTCAATATCCACCTCTGGACCTTCAATGTCCACCTTTGGCCCAGAAATATCAATGTCCCCTTTTGGGAGGTTCACGTCCACCTCTGGACCTTCTGCTTTGAAGCCGGGCATCCCAAACTTGGGCATTTTGAACTTGGGCATCTTGAATTTTCCCTCTGGGCCATGAACGTCCACATCTGGCACATCAATGTCGACTTTGGGGGCCTTGATGTGCATCTCAGGCATCTTGAATTTGCCTTCTGGGCCATGAAGATCTACATCTGGCACATCAATGTCGACTTTGGGGGCCTTGATGTGCATCTCAGGCATCTTGAATTTGCCTTCTGGGCCATGAAGATCTACATCTGGCACATCAATGTCGACTTTGGGGGCCTTGATGTGCATCTCAGGCATCTTGAATTTGCCTTCTGGGCCATGAAGATCTACATCTGGCACATCAATGTCGACTTTGGGGGCCTTGATGTGCATCTCAGGCATCTTGAATTTGCCTTCTGGGCCATGAAGATCTACATCTGGCACATCAATGTCGACTTTGGGGGCCTTGATGTGCATCTCAGGCATCTTGAATTTGCCTTCTGGGCCATGAAGATCTACATCTGGCACATCAATGTCGACTTTGGGGGCCTTGATGTGCATCTCAGGCATCTTGAATTTGCCTTCTGGGCCATGAAGATCTACATCTGGCACATCAATGTCGACTTTGGGGGCCTTGATGTGCATCTCAGGCATCTTGAATTTGCCTTCTGGGCCATGAAGATCTACATCTGGCACATCAATGTCAACGCTGGGACCTTTAATGTCCACGTCAGGACCCTTCAGGTCACCCTCCAGCTTGGGGACAGACACATCCACGTCCCCCTTCAGTTTGGGGCCTTTCAGATTGAAGTCAACGTCAGGCATGGAGAACTTGGGTGCCTTGATGTGCATTTCGGGCATCTTGAACTTGGGACCCTTCACTTTCCCTTCTGGACCCTCCAGCTCAACGTCAGGAAGGTCAACATCAACCTTGGGGCCTTTGATATCAATTTCTGGGCCTTTCAAATCACCTTCCAGCTTGGGAACGGACACGTCCACATCTCCCTTCACTTTGGGGCCCTTCAGGTTCAAGTCGATGTCAGGCATGGAGATTTTGGGGGCCTTGATGTGCATCTCGGGCATCTTGAACTTGGGACCCTTCACCTTCGCCTCTGGGCATTCAATGTCCACCTCTGGACCCTCAATGTCCACCTTTGGACCAGAAACATCCAGGTTTCCTGTCGGCAGGTTCACATCCACCTCTGGACCTTCTGCTTTCACCCCCGGCATCCCGAATTTGGGCATTTTGAACTTGGGCATCTTGAATTTGCCTTCTGGACCGTGAAGATCTACATCTGGCACATCAATGTCGACTTTGGGGGCCTTGATGTCCACCTCAGGACCTTTCAATTCACCTTCCAGCTTTGGAACGGACACGTCCACATCTCCCTTCACTTTGGGGCCTTTCAGATTGAAGTCAACATCAGGCATGGAGAACTTGGGTGCCTTGATGTGCATCTCGGGCATCTTGAACTTAGGACCCTTCACCTTCCCCTCAGGACCTTCAATATCCACCTCTGGACCTTCAATGTCCACCTTTGGGCCAGAAATATCAATGTCCCCTTTTGGCAGGTTCACATCCACCTCTGGACCTTCTGCTTTGAACCCCGGCATCCCAAATTTGGGCATTTTGAACTTGGGCATCTTGAATTTGCCTTCTGGGCCATGAAGATCTACATCTGGCACATCAATGTCGACTTTGGGGGCCTTGATGTCCACCTCGGGACCCTTCAGGTCACCCTCCAGCTTGGGGACAGACACATCCACGTCCCCCTTCAGTTTGGGGCCTTTCAGATTGAAGTCAACATCAGGCATGGAGAACTTGGGGGCCTTGATGTTCATCTCAGGCATCTTGAATTTGGGACCCTTCAGCTTCCCCTCTGGTCCTTCCAGCTCAACGTCAGGAAGGTCAACATCAACCTTGGGGCCTTTGATATCAATTTCTGGGCCTTTCAAATCACCTTCCAGTTTGGGAACAGACACGTCCACATCTCCCTTCACTTTGGGGCCCTTCAGGTTCAAGTCAATGTCAGGCATGGAGATCTTGGGTGTCTTGAAGTGCATCTCAGGCATCTTGAACTTGGGGCCTTTAACTTTTCCTTCTGGACCTTCCAGCTCCACGTCAGGAAGGTCAACGTCCAGTTTCGGGCCTTTGATGTCAACGTCCGGGCCTTTCAGATCACCCTCCATTTTTGGAAGGGAAACGTCCACGTCCCCCTTGACTTTGGGGCCTTTGAGGTTGAGGTCGAAGTCAGGCATGGAGATCTTGGGGGCTTTGAAGTGCATCTCAGGCATCTTGAATTTGGGACCCTTCAGCTTCCCTTCTGGACATTCCAACTCAAGATCCGGAGCCTCTACATCCACTTTCGGGCCTTTCAATGTGACTTCAGGCCCTTTCAGGTCACCTTCCACACTCGGCATCTCCACCTCCACATCCCCCTTCACTTTCGGGCCTTTCAGGTTCAGATCAAAATCCGGCATCGAGATTTTGGGAGCCTTAAAATGCATCTCCGGCATCTTAAATTTGGGGCCTTTCAACTTCCCCTCTGGGACCTCAATATCCACATTGGGAGCTTCTATGTCCACTTTGGGGCCTTTGATGTCTATCTCGGGGCCTTTCAGGTCACCCTCTAGTTTGGGGGCAGAAACATCCACGTCTCCCTTCAGCTTTGGACCCTTCAGGTTCAAGTCGATGTCGGGCATGGAGATCTTGGGCGTCTTGAAGTGCATCTCGGGCATCTTGAACTTGGGGCCTTTAATTTTTGCATCTGGACACTCCAGCTCCACGTCGGGAACGTTCACGTCCAGTTTCGGGCCTTTGATGTCAACATCCGGGCCTTTCAGATCACCCTCCATTTTTGGAAGGGAAACGTCCACGTCCCCCTTGACTTTGGGGCCTTTGAGGTTGAGGTCGAAGTCGGGCATGGAGATCTTGGGGGCTTTGAAGTGCATCTCGGGCATCTTGAATTTGGGGCCCTTCAGCTTCCCCTCTGGGCCTTCCAGGTCCACGTCAGGAACGTCTATGTCCACTTTGGGCCCTTTCAGTTCCAGATCCGGCCCTTTCAGGTCTCCTTCTATTTTGGGTACGGAAACATCCATTTCTCCCTTCACTTTGGGACCTTTCAAGTTGAGATCCATGTCGGGCATGGAAAGTTTTGGGGCCTTAATGTGCATATCGGGCATTTTTATCTTGGGCCCTTTCCATTTGCCCTCAGGGCCTTCAACATCAACATCGGGAACATCAACATCCAGCTTGGGACCTTTAATGTTCACATCGGGGCCCTTCAGGTCCCCTTCTAATTTTGGAACGGAGACATCAACGCCCCCCTTCACTTTGGGGCCCTTCAGGTTCAAGTCGATGTCGGGCATGGAGATCTTGGGGGCTTTGATGTGCATCTCGGGCATCTTGAACTTGGGGCCTTTCACCTTCCCTTCGGGACCTTCAATGTCCACGCTGGGCATCTCGACATCGACTTTTGGGACAGAAACATCAATGTCCCCTTTCGGCAGGTTCACATCCACCTCTGGACCTTCTGCTTTCACCCCCGGCATCCCGAATTTGGGCATTTTGAACTTGGGCATCTTGAATTTGCCTTCTGGGCCGTGAACGTCCACATCTGGCACATCAATGTCGACTTTGGGGCCCTTGATGTCCACCTCAGGACCTTTCAATTCACCTTCCAGCTTGGGAACGGACACGTCTACGTCCCCCTTCACTTTGGGGCCTTTCAGATTTAGGTCAATGTCTGGCATTGAAATCTTGGGTGTCTTGAAGTGCATCTCGGGCATCTTGAACTTGGGACCCTTCACCTTCCCCTCAGGACATTCAATGTTCACCTCTGGACCTTCAATGTCGACCTTTGGGCCAGAAATATCAATGTCCCCTTTTGGGAGGTTCACATCCACCTCTGGACCTTCTGCTTTGAACCCCGGCATCCCAAACTTGGGCATTTTGAACTTGGGCATCTTGAATTTGCCCTCTGGACCATGAAGATCTACATCTGGCACATCAATGTCGACTTTGGGGGCCTTGATGTCCACCTCGGGTCCTTCCAACTTGGGGACAGAGACATCCACGTCCCCCTTCAGTTTGGGGCCTTTCAGATTGAAGTCGACATCGGGCATGGAGAACTTGGGTGCTTTGATGTTCATCTCGGGCATCTTAAACTTGGGGCCTTTGAGTTTCCCTTCAGGACCTTCCAGCTCAACATCAGGAAGGTCAACATCAACCTTGGGGCCTTTGATATCAATTTCTGGGCCTTTCAAATCACCTTCCAGCTTGGGAACGGACACGTCCACATCTCCCTTCACTTTGGGACCCTTCAGGTTCAAGTCGATGTCAGGCATGGAGATCTTGGGTGCCTTGATGTGCATCTCAGGCATCTTGAACTTGGGACCCTTCACCTTCCCCTCAGGGCCTTCAATATCCACCTCTGGACCTTCAATGTCCACCTTTGGGCCAGAAATATCAATGTCCCCTTTTGGGAGGTTCACGTCCACCTCTGGACCTTCTGCTTTCACCCCCGGCATCCCAAATTTGGGCATTTTGAACTTGGGCATCTTGAATTTGCCTTCTGGGCCGTGAACGTCCACATCTGGCACATCAATGTTGACTTTGGGGCCCTTGATGTCCACGTCAGGACCTTTCAGGTCACCCTCCAGCTTGGGGACAGACACATCCACACCCCCCTTCAGTTTGGGGCCCTTTAAATTCAAATCGACATCGGGCATGGAGATCTTGTGTGCCTTGATGTGCATCTCAGGCATCTTGAACTTGGGGCCCTTGACCTTCCCTTCTGGCACACCCTCCAGCTTGGGGACAGACACATCCACACCCCCCTTCAGTTTGGGGCCCTTTAAATTCAAATCGACATCGGGCATGGAGATCTTGTGTGCCTTGATGTGCATCTCAGGCATCTTGAACTTGGGGCCCTTGACCTTCCCTTCTGGCACTTCAATATCCACCTCTGGACCTTCTGCTTTCACCCCCGGCATCCCAAATTTGGGCATTTTGAGCTTGGGCATCTTGAATTTGCCCTCTGGACCATGAAGATCTACATCTGGCACGTCAATGTCGGCTTTAGGGGCCTTGATGTCCACCTCGGGACCCTTCAGGTCACCCTCCAGCTTGGGAGCCGTGATTTCAACATCCCCCTTCATGCTGGGCCCTTTCAGGTTGAGGTCCACGTCGGGCATGGAGATCTTGGGGGCCTTGATGTGCATCTCGGGCATCTTGAACTTGGGGCCTTTCAGTTTTCCTTCGGGACACTCCAAATCGATATTGGGGGCCTCAACATCCACTTTTGGCCCCTTGATGTCGATTTCTGGCCCTTTCAGGTCACCTTCAATCTTAGGAGCCCCAAAATCCACTTCTCCTTTCACTTTAGGTCCCTTCAGGTTGATGTCCACGTCCGGCACGGAGATTTTGGGGGTTTTGATGTTCAACTTCGGCATCCTGAACTTAGGACCTTTCCATTTGCCTTCTGGTCCTGTCACCTCCAGCTCTGGCCCTTCCATCTCCACCTCCGGCCCGGAAAGGTCCATCTCCCCTTTGGGCAGGTTGACGTCGACCTCAGGTCCCTCAAGCTTTGGGCCAGAAACGTGGAAATGAGGCATTTTGACTTTGGGCATTTTCAGTTTGGCTTCTGGACACTCCAGGTTGACGTCGGGGACCTCCACGTCTATTTTCGGCCCCTTGACGTCGATCTCCGGCCCTTTCAAATCACCTTCCAACTTTGGAGCTGCAACATCCATCTCTCCTTTAATTTTATGTCCCTTTAAGTTCAAATCTACGTCCGGCATCGATATTTTGGGGGCTTTGATGTTAAGTTTGGGCATCTTAAATTTGGGGCCTTTTATTTTCCCTTCTGGACATTCCAAGTCTACCTCGGGCATCTCAACGTCAACCTGGGGACCTTCCACCTCCATTTTGGGACCTTTCAGATCTCCGGAGACCTTGGGACCAGAGATATCTACGTCTCCCTTGAGTTTGGGAGCCTTCAAGCTCAGGTCTACGTCTGGCATGGACAGTTTGGGCGTCTGAATGTTGAGTTCGGGCATTTTAAATTTGAGACCTTTCCCTTTTCCTTCCGGCCCTTCGATGTCCACGCTCGGCACCTCGATATCTACCTTTGGACCAGAAATGTCCACCTCACCCTTCGGAAGGGTCACGTCAACGTTGGGGCCCTCTCCTTTCAGTCCGGGCACCCCAAATTTGGGCATTTTCAGCTTTGGCATCTTCAGTTTACCTTCTGGACCATGAATGTCCACGTCTGGGGCTTCTATGTCAACTTTGGGGCCTTTGAGGTCAAGTCCGGGTCCTTTGAGTTCTCCTTCCAGTTTTGGGGCGCAAACGTCCAGGTCTCCTTTCACTTTGGGGCCTTTCAGGTTGAGGTCAATGTCGGGCATGGAGATCTGGGGGGTCTTGAAGCTCATCTCAGGCATCTTCACCTTGGGGCCCTTCAGTTGTCCTTCTGGCCCTTTGATGTCCACACTCGGCACGTCGATATTGACCTTGGGGCCAGAAATGTCCACCTCACCCTTTGGAAGAGTCACATCGACACTGGGGGCCTCTCCTTTCACCCCAAATTTGGGCATTTTCAGCTTTGGCATCTTCAATTTCCCTTCTGGCCCGTGGATGTCCACGTCTGGGGCTTCTATGTCAACTTTGGGGCCTTTGAGGTCAAGTCCAGGACCCTTCAAATCGGCTCCCATCGTGGGGACGGAAACGTCCAGGTCACCCTTCACTTTGGGGCCTTTCAGGTTGAGATCAACATCTGGCAGAGAGACCTTGGGGCCTTTCAGTTGTCCTTCTGGCCCTTTGATGTCCACGCTTGGTACATCGATATTGACCTTGGGGCCAGAAATGTCCACCTCACCCTTTGGAAGAGTCACGTCGACGCTGGGGGCCTCTCCTTTCAGTCCAGGCACCCCAAATTTGGGCATTTTCAGCTTTGGCATCTTCAGTTTACCTTCTGGCCCATGGATGTCCACCTCTGGTGCTCCAAGGTCAACTTTGGGGCCTTTGAGATCCAGTTCAGGACCCTTCAAACCAACTTCTACCTTGGGGACGGAAACGTCCAGGTCACCCTTCACTTTGGGGCCTTTCAGGTTGAGATCAACATCTGGCAGAGAGACCTTGGGGCCTTTCAGTTGTCCTTCTGGCCCCTTGATGTCCACGCTTGGTACATCGATATCTACCTTGGGGCCAGAAATGTCCACCTCACCCTTTGGAAGGGTCACATCGACGCTGGGGGCCTCTCCTTTCAGTCCGGGCACCCCAAATTTGGGCATTTTCATCTTAGGTATCTTCACTTTGCCCTCTGACCCATGGATGTCCACCTCTGGTGCTCCAAGGTCAACTTTGGGGCCTTTGAGATCCAGTTCAGGACCCTTCAAACCAACTTCTACCTTGGGGACGGAAACGTCCAGGTCACCCTTCACTTTGGGGCCTTTCAGGTTGAGGTCGATGTCGGGCATGGAGATCTGGGGGGTCTTGAAGCTCATCTCAGGCATGGAAACTTTGGGGCCTTTGACATCTACGTCGGGGACGTCCACGCCCACTTTGGGGCCTTTGATGTCAAAGTGAGGCCCTTTCAAGGTGCCACCCATTTTGGGGACGGAAACGTCCACTTCTCCCTTCCCCTTCGGTCCCTTCAGGTGAATGTCCATATCCGGCGCGGAGACGCCGGGTCCTTTCAAGCAACCTCCTGGACCTTCAAACTCAACATCAGGAGCCTTGACGTCCATCTTGAGACCTTTGGAGCCAAGTCCTTCCACCCCGGGGCCGGTGACGCCCACGTCTCCCTTCACCTGAGGTCCCTTCAGCTTCAGATTTACGTCCGACAGAGAGATGTGGGGCGTTTCCACCTTCTTGAACGTGGGGCCTTTCCATTCTCCTTTGGTGGCCACCTCGGGAAGGCCAACGTCGGCCACCACCGGTCCCACCTGGCCCTTGGGCAGCGCCATTTCCACCCCGGGACCTTCCCCTCGCGAGTCCGAGGCGGTAAATTTGGGGAAGTTCATGTGGGGCATTTTGAGGATCCCCTTCCCACCAGGAATTTCCACCTCAGAAGAAGGCGGGAGCTCGACGGCGGGTCCTTTGATCCCCACCCCGGGGACCTCCACTTGTAGGGCAGCCCCCTTCAGCCCCACCTCCACCTTGGGGCCTTTCGTTGAAGGAACCGAAACGTCCGTTGACGGGACGTGGATGGAAGAGGAGGAGGTGACATCCAGGCACGGGGACTGCGGCTTCGGCACCGCCGGAAGGTGGACCCCAACTTGGGGGGCTGGAGCTTCGGGGCCGGATCCCGCCGTGGGGAACCCAAATTTGGGCATTTTCAAGGCGGGGAAGTTGATTTTCCCCACGTCGAGGGGGGAGGTTTCCATCGTCGGTGCCGAAACCTCGACGCCGGGGCCTTGGAGACCTCCCTGAAGATGAGGGGTGGAACCATCAAGGTGGGACGGTGTCCCCCCGACGTGGCCGTGTCCTTTGCCGTCCAACCCAGGCCCCTTGAGGTGAAACCCCACCTCCAGGTTGCCCATCTGTCCGTTGGTCTCGATTCTGGGCGACCCAATGGAGGAGGAGCCCAAACCGTCACCTCCCACCATCTCCACCATCATGGATTTTCCAGTTTCTCCACCAGGAACGTGGCTCTGGGGCAGTTGAGGGTCCAGGCGAGTCCTCAGGTCCAGGCCTGGAGATCCCGACGCCGTCATCCCGACCTTTCCTGAAGGAACCTCCCCGAGGTGGACGTCCAACTTGTGGGCAGAAGAAGAAGAAGAAGAATCAACCCTTGGTCCTCGAAGGTCCACGCTCCAGTCCGGGCCTCGGCTGCTTCCCCCAGGTCCCACCATCCCAAGGTCTCCTTCCACCACCGTCTCCGTCGTGTGGGTCGTCTCCTGGCTCGGGATGAGGATCTTAAATTCGGGGCCGAGGACTTGGAGGTCTCCAGTTCCATCGTGGCTGCTGACGTCCACGGTGTAGGCCGTGACCTTCCTGGTGACGGTGATGGTCCTGCTCTGCGTCCCACCAACCTCCCCCTCCAGCACCTCCTCCGACTTCAGCCTCGGTTTGATCTTGGTGGTGTAGATCCTCCTGTACTCCTCATCGTCACCGCTCTGGAACCGCAGGAGACCTTCATCAGCACCCAAGGGGCTTCTTCAGCCCTTCCTCTTCCTCCCACCCCATCCCACCATCCTCAACCCTTCCTCTTCCTCCCACCCCATCCCACCATCACCCACCACCCTCCTCAACCTTTCTTCTTCCACCTCATCCCACCATCCTCAGCCCTTCCTCTTCCTCCCACCCCATCCCACCCTCCTCAACCCTCCTTCTTCCTCCCACCCCATCCCACCATTGCTTCCTCTCCCTCTCCTCAGCCCTTCTTCTTCATCCCACCCCATCCCACCATCACCCACCACCCTCCTCAGTCCTTCTTCTTCCCACACCATCCCACCATCCTTGACCCTTCCTCTTCCTCCCACCCCATCCCACCATCACCCACCACCCTCCTCAGTCCTTCTTCTTCCCACACCATCCCACCATCCTTGACCCTTCCTCTTCCTCCCACCCCATCCCACCATCACCCACCACCCTCCTCAACCTTTCTTCTTCCACCCCATCCAACCTTCCTCAACCCTTCCTCTTCCTCCCACCCCACCCTCACCAGGACCCACCAGGACAACTTCGGGGGTGGTGGCCGAGAAGACCTCGTGTGACCAGGCCTGTCCCGGCAGCGGGGACCTGTCCCCTTTGCGTTGGAGGCGCAGACCCACCCGGTGGTGGCCCATGCTGTTGAGGAGCTGCGTCACCTCCCCCGACTGCAGGTTGTCGAAGTAGACGGTGGCGCTCACGATCTGGTCCCCTGGGGGGCGGGGTTGGGGGGGGGGTGGGGAAGGGACCCCCCCAAAATCCATCCCCACCAACAGCCAAACGGGGAGCAACCACCGCTCCTGGGGTTCCCCCACCAACAGCCAAACGGGGAGCAACCACCGCTCTTGGGGTTCTCTCCCCGAGGAGGAGGAGGAGGAAGGAAGCGAGGCCAAGATGGAAAAATGGACAAAAAGAACCCATTTCCCTCCCCAAAAAAAGAAAAATCAACCCCCAAATCTGCCCCACAACAAGCTCCGCCAAGGGCTGCACCCCCTCTTCCTCCTCCTCTTCCTCCTCCTCCTCTGCCTGAGCTGGGACCTCCTTCCCCCTCCTTCTTCCTCCTGAGTGAGGATTTCCTTCCTCTTCCTCCTGAGCAGGGACCCTCTTCCTCCTCCTCCTCTTCCTCCTGAGTGAGGACTTCCTTCCTCCTCCTCCTTCCTCTTCCTCCTGAGCGAGGACCCCCTTCTTCCTCCTCCTTCTCCTTCCTCTTCCTCCTGAGCGAGGACTCCCTTCCTCCTCTTCTTCCTCCTGAGCAGGGACCCCCTTCCTCCTCTTCCTCCTGAGCGAGGACTCCCTTCCTCCTCCTCCTTCTCCTTCCTCTTCCTCCTGCTCAGAGACCCCCTTCCTCCTCCTCTTCCTCCCGAGCAAGGACCCCCTTCTTCCTCCTCCTTCTCCTTCCTCTTCCTCCTGAGTGGGGACTCCCTTCCTCATCCTCTTCCTCCTGAGCAAGGACCCCCTTCTTCCTCCTCTTCCTCCTGAGCGGGGACCCCCTTCCTCCTCCTTCTTCTCCTTCCTCTTCCTCCTGAGCGGGGACTCCCTTCCTCCTCCTCCTCCTCCTGAGTGGGGACCCCCTTCCTCCTCCCCACCAAGGTGCCCCCCCCGAGGGACAGATGCCCCCACGTGGGGAGACACCCCCCCCCCAGCGCTGCCCCCACCCCC